ACAAAGAATATTGAATTATCAACAATGATGTAATGATGACAATTCGATATTCTTTGTCATTGATAATCAAAATAATAAATAACAATCAGTAAAATAAATAGCAAATAGAGATTTAATTATTAATATTGCATTGTTTACCAACCGTATTTAATTAAAACATGCCAACTTTACACTCTCCTTAAGATACTTCGGAATAACTATATACGTGCTTATTTCTAATCGTCATACAAACGCTAAAGGACATTTAATTTCAAAAGTTGAATCATTTCTCTGTTTCTTTCTTTATTATTTACACATTTAAGTTCAAATTTTACTGTATCGAATAAAACTTATTATAAAGAACTTTATTTGAGAATTTATCATAACGGGCTGAGTCAACTGTATGAACTGCATGTTGAATATTTTGAACATTGATCCCCTTTTTGTGTTTTATAGTGATAACGATAAGCTATTTATTCTTTAGTCACTTTGCAGGGAATTCTCGGCGACAAAATCTTAAAATCATACTTAGTGCGCCAATCATATGATGATCTAAATATAATTATTGATGTCAAAATGGCCTGATTTAGTTGGTTGGGGTTATAAAAGCTTCCTCTTTTATAATCTTTTTTTGTTACCTTTCTATCATGTCTAAAACAAGCCTCAGTAATAAATTGTCCATTAAAGATGTCGAATTAAAAGATAAGCGAGTTCTTATCCGGTAATATTTTAATAAATGTCGAAGAGTTGATAAATTAATAAGGATCACGTGTCGCTCATTTAAAAATCGATAATAGAGTTGACTTTAATGTTCCATTTCAAGATGGAAAAATATCTAATAATCAGCGTATCGTTGAAGCTTTGCCAACGATTAATTATGCCTTAGACAATGGTACAAGATAATTGATATCTGAACATATTTCAATAATTATCATCTGTAACTAAGGCTTATCCTTGTAATTGATAGGAGCAAAAGCCATTATATTGATGTCTCATCTAGGTCGTCCAGATGGAAAAAGGAATCCAAAACTTTCTTTAAGGCCAGTTTCTGAGGAACTCGGTCGTTTAATGAATAAGGATATTCTATTTCTTGAAGATTGTGTCGGCCCTGAAATAGAGAAAGCTGCGGCAAATGCGACCGGAGGTATTATTGTTTTTAATATATTTTTTAAGGAGCTTAATTAATTTTAATTTATGGTTACTATTTGTCAATTCCCTAAGGACAAGTTATTCTTCTCGAAAATCTTCGCTTTCATATTGAGGAAGAAGGTTCCGCAAAAGATGAGCAAGGAAAAAAAGTAATGTCAAGTTTGACTTTAAATGAAATAGCTTTAAATTTGTCAAGGGATTTTTGATTTTATAATAGATAAAAGCATCAGCGGAAGATGTTGCTAAATTCCGTGCTTCTCTATCTAAACTTGGTGACATCTATATCAACGACGCATTTGGAACAGCTCATCGTCCTCATAGCTCCATGGTTGGTGTTGATTTGCCAACTCGCGCTGCTGGTTTTTTGCTAAAAAAAGAATTAGATTTCTTTGGCAAAGCCCTAGAAAATCCCGAAAGACCGTTCTTGGCTATTCTCGGGGGGTATGCGTAAATGAATTTTTGCGAATTCATTATAATTTACTATTATATCAATTTATGAGTTTTGATATTTCATAGAGCAAAAATTTCAGACAAAATCCAATTGATTAACAATCTTCTCGATAAAGTAGATTCCATGATTATTACTGGTAAATATTTATTAATATTGCTTATGTTGAACAAGTCTAACTGGAAAGCTATTATTACAATTAGGTGGCATGGCTTTCACTTTCAAAAAAGTTCTTGAGAATGTAGAGGTAAACAATTTGTTTCATTTTCTTTTATTGTTTCTATAGTTTTTAGATTAAAGTTTATAAATGATTCATTTTATAGATTGGAAATTCTTTATTTGATGAGGCGGGTTCAAAAACAGTTGCTAATTTAGTTGAAAAAGCCAAAAGCAAGAATGTAAAGTTGGTCTTTCCGGTTGATTATGTGACGGCAGATAAGTTTGACAAGGATGCCAATGTCTGTAGATATTCATATTCATATTTGATTTGATTATGAGGGTTTTTATATTGGAAATCGCTGAATTTACCCCTCTTATTAATTCTCTAAAAAGACTGGTTATGCTACTGATGAGACAGGAATTCCAGCTGGATGGTTAGGTCTTGACTCTGGTGCGAAAACAAACAAGATTTTCAGGGAAACTATCTTAGAATCAAAAACGATCCTTTGGAATGGGTAACCAATTTTTTTGCAATTATTATTAATCAACAGTTTAACTCCTGATGCTTACATTAAGATTATCATTTCATTTATATAGTCCAACTGGTGTTTTTGAATTTGAAAAATTTTCAGTTGGCACGAAATCCGCCCTGGATGCTGTGATCGAAGCAACAAATAACGGTGCGACTGCGATTGTAGGCGGTGGTGATACAGCCTCTGCAGCAGCTAAGTGGGGTGCTGTAGATAAAATCTCTCATGTTTCTACAGGAGGTGGTGCCTCCTTGGAATTGCTTGAAGGTAAGTTTTGTCTTAGTATATCCTAAAAAAGATCCATTATTAATATTATTCAAAATTAAATTTTAGGCAAAGAACTACCTGGCGTTTCCGCCCTTTCATCTAAATAAGCGAGAACTATTAATGTTATTCTCTTAAAGATGTTTCTCGCTAAAAATTGACATATTAATCTTACTTGTTACACGAATAACCACAATATATATACAAAGTATATATGTGTTTACTAGTAAAAGATATTTTTCTTTATTGATATAAATAACAATATCATTCTCAAATTGTGTTCTTGATTTTGTAACTGCTTGCATATTGTCGATTCGAAATTTAGCTAATCAAGTAATCTGCATTATGATTAAATTGCTGAAAATTTATTATTTCGCATCAATTCTCAGGAAAAATATGTCATATTTAGTTTATAAAAATAATATTTTGTTTAATTATTAAAAATATTTATTAACAAAATTAATATTTATTATATAAATTCTAATACTCCAAATAAATATATAATTAATTATATATAAATAATTTATTTTAAATATATATATAATCAATCTCTTATAAGAATATAATATATAAGAATAATTGTATAGTTCATTTTAGTAATACTAATTATAATATCTAACTTACTTATATTAATAGTATTATAGAATTATTATATACTTTAATTATTTTATCAATTTATCTTTAATTATCTCTTATTCAATCATATTAATAATTTATAATAAATATTATTTATTTTTATTATTCTTTATTTAAATACTTATTAAAAAATAAATTTATATTAAAAATATAATATATATATATATAAAATAAAAAATATATTATATTATAATTCTAATTAGAAATTATATAAAATAATAATATATTATAAAAGTAAATATAATAGTATAAAAATAAGTTATTATAATTTTTTTAAATCTCTAATAATAAAATAATAATTTAAATGATTATTATTTCTAATTTTATTTTTTTTTATATAAATAAAATAATATTATATATTTCACTTTCAATTTAAGACTTATAAAACTTAATTTTATTTAAAATTCTAAATTTTTAAGAATATAAATATTATATTAATTTGTAAAAATTTATTATAAGTAATAACTTTAACTTGATGATAATATAAATTTATAATTAATATATTAAATATAATTAATTCTCTTTAATTTATTTTTTTATTATTTTTTATAATTATTATTTTCTTAAAAATATAATTATTTTAATAATTATATATAAAAATATATTAATAATAAATTTATTTATTATTTTTATTTTCTTTTTTTTATAATAATAAAATTCTCTTATAAAATATAATTATCAAAATATTTATTTATTTTATTTTATATTTTGAAAAATTAATTAATATAAAAATTTTTAATTATTAGTTAGAATTAATATATAAGTTAATATCTTATAAAAAAATATTAATAATTAAAAAAAATAAATATAATCAGATTTTTTTATAATTATTATACTTAAAAAAGTAAAATTAAATAATTAAAAAAGATATAATTATAAAAAGATTTTTTAATTATAATTAATTAGTAACTAAAAAAATAATTATAAAGAGATCTAATTATAAAATAATCTAATTATATAAAACTTATCTTATATTATTTTATTCTATAATATTACTATTATTAGTAGATTATATTTTATTATTATTATTATTAATAGATTATATACTTTTTTTAATAAACTATATTTTGCTAATATTATTATATTTTATTATAAGCCAGTACAAAAAGATTGATATACCAATATAAAAATCAATAATTACTTCTAATAAAAGTCATTCAAATTTTAATCAATCTTTATAATTTTTTTATATTAAGT